AAGTAAAATTAGAAGTGTGATACTCGTGTACTGATAGTTCAACCTATTTTATAAGTTAATTTTCTATGATTTGTATTTTGTGTTAGATTAGTTATGTTGACAGCTACTATCACTATTACTAGTACAATTATTATTATTAATATTATAATTTATATGTTAACTTTAATTTCCAATTTTAATGTTTAAAATTAAATGATTTTTTACTTTGCTTAAAATTTTCTCAAGAAAATATGAACATCATAACTTTTATTCCAACAATAAACAGTTTCAAGGTTTCATCTAAATGAATTCCGTTTCATTAAATCGAATTACAAGTGATACTCGCTTTTATTGAAAGAAACGGGCAATATTGAGTTTATTAATACATACTCATCGGTAAAAGCATTTACTTCGGTCCTTAATCACATAAAATGGCAATGAATTTATGTCATTATTTCCGGCCTTCAACTTCGACCAAAGGCAAAAGTTTCATTTACTTTTTTCCGCTTAGTTTATGAGAAGGCGGATGTGAGTACTGATTGACAAGAGCTGAAGGAAAAAAGTTCCAAGTAGTTATTCTCCTTTTGAAATCGTCATTAAATTATTGGAGTGAAATTTTAAATAATTTTTTTGAAGTGAAATTTATTTAACTAAACCCGACACTGATAAATTATGAGAGGTGTTTTTATATAAGTATATAATATAAAGTAATATAATTCATTTAAGTTTATAACGTCCACATAAGTCTATTGTCGACATATTACTACCGATTTTACATAAATTGGTATCAAATATATACTTGCTATATAAAAAAAAAGTAATTTTATTAATATATAATATGACATTGATTAATTATGAGAGATTTTTTGAATGAGTATAAAAAATTATGTACAATAATTCCTTTAAGTTTATAATATCTAAATAAGTCTCTTGTCAATCAAATAAATATACTTGTTACATAAAAAAAGGAATAATTTTATAAACATATATCTTCAATTTTCTTTCCAGATTCTGAATTAAAGGAACGCCTTATCGCCACCGTAAAAAAGGAAGTAAAACAATTGATGGAAGAGGCTGTTACCAAAAAGTATATACATGAGGAAAGTAGTTCAGTAACTTCACTTTGTGGAGCTGTAGAGGCATGTCTCAGTCACGGTTTGCGTCGACGTGCTTTGGGGCTTTTCAAGACCTCGTCGACTACTGCTCTTATACAGAAAATAGCTAAGACATGTCCAGAAGCAGATTATGTAAGTCGACGCTTGTTAGAGATCGAATTAGCAAATGAATGCAATACAATTGCTGGTAAACGTTCATGTTCGAGCAGCGATAGCATCATTAAACCGAAGCTATTGAGCAAGGGTAGCAGCAGTTCGGTTACAACGATTAATACTATGTCATCAGGAACATCGGTTTCAGCACCTGTCGTCAAGTGAGTATTACAAGCTTCGCAATCATCATTTGGCGAGATATTAACCAAGCTCGTTTTACTCACCAGGTACCTGTGGATACGCTTGGCATTATATGAAAAGCGCTTATCTAAAATTATAGAACATCTCGTAAATAATGCAAATAATTATTATGATCGAGACGCTTTAGTTGCGGATCCAGATTTTGGTTCTATTTTGAGTTCACTATTAGTTGGTCCATGCGCTTTAGAATTCACTCGCGCTAAAACCGCTGATCATTATTGGTTAGATCCACATGCAGATGAATTGGTAAGTGCAGTAATAACATCGGCGCATTTTAATAACTATTTCTGTTTTAGGTTCAAAGACATCGTATTAGTTCAGGCAATCGCACACCACCGACCTGTCATCGTCCTATTATCAATTTTAAACGCAGTCTGCATACAAGTTCGGAAGATACTAGCAGTGGTTCATTTAAGGCTAGTTCACCAGCTAGTGTAGCAAAGGACTATGTTGAGTCCCTACATCAAAACTCTAGAGCAACTTTATTGTATGGCAAGAATAACGTTTTGGTTTTACCTGTGAGTAATATTTAAATTGCTGTCTTTAATTTAGTAAGTTGTATTTCTTTGTAGAAGGATGTTAGTGAAGCTATGCCTGGTTATCTTAGTCTACATCAAACCATACAATCATTAACTATTAAGTGGACACCGAATCAGTTAATGAATGGTTACAATGATGCCGACGGTACCGATAAAAGTTTCTATTGGGCATATGCTTTAAATATTAATGTCGATGAAATTGTATATGTACATTGCCACCAAAATCGTGGCGAGGATACTGGTGGTACTATTATACTCGTAGGACAAGATGGTGTACAACGTCCTCCAATACATTTTCCAGAAGGTGGCCATATGCAATCATTTTTAAGTTGTTTGGAGACTGGTTTGTTACCACATGGCCAGTTAGATCCACCATTATGGTCACAACGTGGTATGGGTAAAATGTTTAATTGGCCTAAAAGTGTTAGACGTCGCATATTACCATCTGTTATGGAATCTGCAGATGAGACACCAATCGATTATGTCTTCCGTGTTGTCAGCAAAAGTCAACATGAAGAATTCTGTAAGTATAAAGATATTTGTACAAAGTACAATTTTTTTAAACATTATATTAATTTTCAGTGGCCACACATCCCATACTAGAGCTTGGACGTACTAGTCCAAGACGTAAGCATTTAGGTAGTTGCTCAACTACTGGTAGTAGCGAGTGCTCTAGTAAGAGTCTATCACTAGAGCACAGCATAACAGACCCACCGCTGGTGAGTATTTAAATTGGAAATATTTTAGAAAAATAGTATATATATGTCCTATATTTCCCATATTAGATTCAGGGCAGTCAAACTGCAAGTATAGAACTCGTTTGTTCCACTATGCGTAGGCAAATAATATCACGGGCTTTCTATGGTTGGCTAGCTTATTGCAGACATTTGTCAACTGTGCGCACCCATTTATCAGGACTAGTAAATGGACGTATTACACCAGATTGTAAGTTTATTTTTATTTTACTTATATATTACAGCAAAACCTATTACTGTATTACCTGCCTTACTATTCTTTACAGTAGGTGTAGATGAAGAGGGCTTAACCAAAGAAATATGGGAAGCAATGCATACGGATGGCGTCATAACAAGTGATATGGATGTCTTCCGGTTGGTTTACTTTGGTGGTGTACAACATGAGATACGAAAAGAAGTTTGGCCATATTTATTGGGACATTACAGGTACGTATATTATACTTATGTTACAAACATTAAAAGAAAAAAAAAATGACATGTATTTATAATAACAGTTTTGGTTCAACACCTGAGGAACGCGCTAAACATGATGAAACCTGTAAACATTATTATGAGACCACAATGAGTGAATGGTTAGCAGTGGAGGCTATAGTACGTCAGCGAGAGAAAGAAAAAACTGCACAAGCAATGGCAAAATTAACAGCTGAGAAGAACAAACATGCTCAGGAAGCTGGCAGACGTGTTAGTCGTCAAACGGAAATGGATGCTGATGATTTGGATAATGACGTTTTTGAAGATCACGATTTCTCAGACATATCTGATCCCGGTGATGACTATGATGAGGAAATGCGTATAGAAAATGAAGAAAATATGGAAATGGATGATTTAGCCAATGAAAGGGATAAAAAAAGTAGTACCACCGATTCCGGTAATGGTGAGGAGGAAGTCTGTGCTGATATCGTCGATACTGAAGTTGGAATTGAGGCGCAAGAAAATGAATATTTACAGTCAACAG